TCTAAGAAGGCCAAGCTGCCACTTTTCATCCTCCCTGATGAATCTGATGTGTTGCAGGTATATAGATGTGTGACTGTTGAAGTGAGGCTGAGCAAACACAGGAAGCATAAAAGACCAAATGTTTATTATTTATTGTTGAAAAGTAACCATCAGAGTTTCTAAGGCAGGCGCGTTCAAAATACAGCTGAGTCAAAGAGTCGGACGCGAGTCCAGACCAGCAGGGACGGACATCTGCAGCCCGAGGACGAGTCAGCGTGAGCTCTCAAACAGGAAGTTATTTCTACGTCACACAGGAAATGAGGTCACACAGAAATGGAAAAAACTCTAAAACAGGAAACAGATCTGAGACTTCGACTAGAGTTTTAAATCATGAACTTTAAACCAATGATGACTCTTCACAGGACAGATACGACCGATTAATGAACTAATCAGCTGAGGCCTGAGCCGCACGCCTGAGCCGTGCTCGCAGGACCTGATGACTCTACCATGATCGATTAGAAAAGCAGCCGTGTTAGGATGGAAGACACGTTCAGTGCAGCGAGACGAGGTGATCAGGCCGCGCGTGGTCTCAGCGGACGGACTCCTCAGCCCATGTAGGGGTACTTCCACTCTGTGAGGGGGACGTGCGTCCGCTTCACGGTCTGCGGAGACGTCCACCTCAGGACGTAGTGAGGACCTCCAGGTTTGTCGTTTGTACCTGCCACACAAAGCAAACAGCACTAAACGTCTTATGGTCACACGTCGTTTGGTCCTCGCTTACGTTTACGTCAGGTAAGCGCCCTCTGGTGGACAAACTACGTAACACGTGTAACAGAAACAAATATTTCAGAAACATCTGCGATATTCTGATCAGACAGAAGAAACAGTCGGCAAAACAGAAAGTACTCGAGTAAATGTACTCTGTTACGCTCCAGCTGAGGTCGGAGCAGCGGCGACGCTAACCTGAAGCTCTGGCGCCCCCGAACGGCTGCTGAGCCACGATGGAGCCGGTGGATTTGTCGTTGATGTAGTAGTTTCCCGCGGCGTTCCTCAGCACGCTGGAGGCTTCGTCGATCACCTTCCTGTGACGGAAACAACCAGAACAACACAGAGTTCAAACTTCCTCTGAATCCATCGCTGTTAGAGCTCCGCCTCTTTCTCACTGTAACCCACTGACAGTCAAACAGGAAGTGGCTTACTCGTCCTTGGCGAACACGGCTCCGGTCAGCGCGTACGGCGACGTGGTGTCGATCAGCCGCAGAACCTCTCTGTAGTCCTTCTCAGGATAAACGTAGACGGCGAGGACGGGCCCGAAGATCTCCTGCAGAACACGCGTGTTCATTTAAACACGCAGAAACACGGGATCAGGAAGGCACAGATGGCGTGAACATGACAACATCGTGAGGAAAGCAGCTGAGGTAATAATGATCCGTGACACTCGCTCACGCAGCTCGCCGACACGCCTGTGTGCGCTCGCCAAGCTGCATACATGAAACTGTAAATAAGGACTCATGAAGGATGCACACAGGAAGTAGGGAGACGGTTGCCGAGGTGATGGGAACAAGCTGAAGCTTCTTTGTTTGTATGTTTTAAACA